CTATCTGGATTAGTTCAAAATGGGTCAGTGGGAACTGAATGGAGTCATCCATCCCTGAACACAGTTCCTTGGAGATTTCTGCCTTTGCAGTGACTTGAGGTGAACTTTTAACAATCAGGCACTCAAGAGGGGTGAGATGTGAAAGACTGTTCCTGCCCTGCTGTAAGTCACCAGAGGAAGGCAAAGAGCCTAACCTTAATTAAATGCTATTACACAAACCTCAGCAAATGTGGTTTCAGAAGCTGGCCCTCTTCCCCAAAGAAGCCGCCTGCTCTTTTAGCTGGGCCAGCTTGACTGCTTGTGGCTATTTTCCAACTCTGGTTTCTGAAGCATTCGCCAGAACACGACATTTATGCAAAAATGCACACCTCCTTTCTTTCGACACAGCTCAGGATTGTAAAATCAGCCTAGAGAGGGTCAAAGAGCACTCAGAGAGCGGTGGCCACTGGAAGTAGCAGGAGGAGGTCTGTTGCCAGCCCTGCAGCAGCAAAAAGAGCAGCTGGACTGCAAAACCAAAAGCACTCTGGCTCACATACTGCTTTGTCTAAAGCCTACAGTCCAGGAAACATCATCAGTCGACCAGAAGGTTTGCTTCTTTTGGAAAGCCTGTAAATCACTGCAATCTATACTTATCCTCTAGTATTCAGTCCTCAAGAGAGATTCAAGTTGTTCTGAACTTGCTGGGAGGACCATGAAGAAAACACACCAACGCAGAAGTCCTGCTTCCCAGCTGAAGAAGGCACAGCACTCAGAAACTTCCTACACTGGAAGCTACAGTAAAGAAACCAGCAATACCCAATGCCTACAGCTCTCTCCCGTTTTTGTACATTGAGGTAGGGCTAGAAACCCACAGTACACAACTGTGGAACAGTGTTGTCCTTACTGTCAGCTGGTGTGAGGTTTTCCACCCTTCTAAAAAGCATCACTTACTTTAATATCTTTACTTTCATACCCAAAGATTTGCTTGCCATTTGGAAAGCACATTTTGCAAGCCACTGCAAGATTCTGGCACTGATTACACCCTTTGGAGTGTAGTACACCTTACCCTGATTTCCATCACGTGAAATTTCTGATCTGTAATTACTCGGATCATTGTTCTGCTAAAAAATGCAGAAATGTATCAAAACAATCCTGTATCCTCCACAGAGCAAGGAGCTTCAGGTGTGGCATTCATACATACACACACATACTAACTGGCTGTCATTCAAATTGATCTCCTTGAACAGAGACCACTATCCCCTTTTATTTTGTTTCTCATTTGTTATATGACTAAATTCTCACAAGGAAAGATAGATATTTTTGGTGACTGGAGGCATCTCCAGAGCTTCTGGAATCTACAGCAGAGCACAACAAGATTTAATAATGAGGTAGCTCTCTAAACGTTTTTTACTTCAAATGAATAAAAACCGAAGATAAATATCCAGGTTTCAGAACCAATGCCACATTACAATCAAGGGCAGAAAAGTGACTTATTTAGGGCTTAAGACTCAAAACTATGCACACCCATTACTGGTTGATAATCTCAGCTGGTAACCAAACAGGTCAGAAAACATGTTTTCAAAACCTCATCTGTAGGTTGAAGCAGAGTCAGGTAAGGAGGGCAGATTCCAGATCAGGTTGTGAGAATGAGGGCTCATCAGACTGAGTGCATTCGGTTTTAACCAAAAAACAGGTCAGAGTGAAAGTTCAACTTCTCTTAAGAGGAGTCCTTTGTGTCCAAATTACTCCAGGCTCAAGCTTGCTATCAACACTGCTCCTGGCAATCCTCAGCCTAGCAGCAACTGCTGTAAACTCTCATCACAAGAGCACTCTCTAAGTTAGCCAAGCTTACAGAAAGTCTTCATTCAGTATTTTTTCAATTTGCTTTACTTTTAATCTTCTTACACCATAGGATTTTTTTCAAAATCCTCAGAATTTAAATCCAATAACACACAGCTCTAGACTTATGTGTTAAAACCACCCCAGACAGCTCACCTAACAACTTCTATGAACCTATTACCATACATAAACCCAATTATATTTTTATCAGTGGCAGTCTAGAACTTCATCTCTTCATTGCCTGGATGTAAGGACGTATGTAATGACTGCTGGTTTAATAGAGTCTATGTACTAATATAGCATACAGATGTATTCATATAGTGATTTTAATGTTGTACCTTAAATATGCAAATATATTAGGGGTTTAGGTATATTTATATATATTATATGATACCTCAGATGGGTTTAATGCATTATGTGTATGCATACACGTACATATGGACATCTGAAAAATATGATTTTTATTTATTAAACCCAAATACAAACTTTTCAACTTCTAGTTACTGCATACATTGACACATGTCAAAAACGACAAGAGTATTCAGGATTAAAGATGTCAATTAAGCCTAGAAGCACTGCATTAAAAACAGACAAATAACAACTTGGAGATGTTTCAACGCAGAGATGAACCGACCAAACCATGGATGGAGGAGGCTGCCCAGCGAGGTGGTGCAAGCTCCGTCCTTAGAGCTCCATTTTCAAGACTCAACTGCTGAGTTGGGCACAGGGTCAGACCAGACCTCCTTGACAGATCCTGTGACCCTATCTACTAATTTCTTGACCAAGCCTCCACACCCAACAGCTTGTGTTAATTATTTTACTGAGTCACTAAAAATAATTATTCTGCTCAGACAAATAGCTGTCAGTTTGTCAAGCAATTAGCAAGAAGTTACTATGTTCTTCAGCTATTTTGCTAAGCTTTGTATTGGAAAAGGACTACCAATTAAAAGAAATTGTCATACCTTTTCTTCATACAACTTATAAACCAAACTGTTTATTATTCCTCACAGTTTATTAAACACATGCAAAGAGCAAGTCATGAAAAGCCAAAGGAGAGCTATGCTTCTTGTGGGTTTGCCATATAATTCAGCACTGATCAATTAAAACTGGATAGGGGAGATGGCTTGTGTCTGTCACACAAACAGCTCATGGGGAAAAAAAATTAAATTCAACAACATGAAGACCTTGTAAGCTTCCTCAGGTTTTCATGCATGTTTCGTGAATAAGCACGGTAGCTGATCATGTGGGGTTTTTTTTCACAGAAAAGGCATTTGAAGATCATTCAAGTCTCAAAATTGCCTGTTGATCATCAATCAAACAAAAGACAAATGAGGGAGCAAGGGAGGAGCTTCTTTCTTTACTCTCTCATTTGTCCATTTGATTGCCAAGGATCCTGGTGGAGCAGCAGAGCCCACAACCCCACACAGCCACCTACCCCAACACGTCAGCATCTTAAAAAGAAGTGCAAAAGGGACCCTGCAACAAATGCAAGCCTCCATCAGGGGAATCTGGGAACAAAATCAACAGAAAGAGGAACTGTAAGTCTATAATGGAAACAAAGGAAAGGCTTCACTCCTCTTCCCACACAACTCATTTCTCGAAAGATCTACTATGAAACTAAGCAATGAAGAAACAAATATTTGGAGCCTTCCACTAGAAACAAACAAACAAACAAACCCCAAACAAAAATAAGAACCTACAAAGCAGTACGTTACCCAGTTAAAAAACAAATAAATCTGTCAAGCAACATCCTTTTTGTCAACTAACCTTCTGATGGCCTGCTTGTATGATACCAATGTCTTAACAACTTCATTTCAGTCAGCTGGTAAAGGAGTCTTGCTTAGAAACATAAAACTGGAGCAGAACAGGCATGGTAGAAATCCTGATAACCTCAGTGTGCTAATGACAAGAAATCTTGATTTATAAACCAGGATCATTCACACAAATTCACAAGGATAGTAGTTACTGTCTGTTGCATTTATCTACTGAAATCAGAAAATTATTGAAAAGAGATTTAATGCAAAAATAGCTACTGCAAAATATGATGACAGCTCTTGACCAATGGATTTTCTAATCCCAGTGAGAATGATTCACATAAGTGTCAGAAGCAACATGCTAAGCAACCACGGCATCACCACAACATCACTAAGAAATATTTCCTTTAGGGCTGCATAAATTAATATTAATCTACTCGTAATTTTAGAAAGGAATTCTTCATGTGTAATATAGAAAGAATTTGTTTTGTTCCTGCTTTTCCTCTTCCTTATACCATTCCCTGTGGAAAGCAAAGCGCAGGTTCTTTGCTGCTTTCCAGAAAGCATTTGTTAAAATGGCAGGAAAAGTGTTTCATTTCAGAAAGGAGATCTACAGAAAATCTAATTTAAACATCAGAATTTCACCCTTTAGCATACAAAGACAGTCCAAGTGCAGAACAAGCACACATGCAATTTCGATAATGAAATATTTTAGTGTCATAAAAACAACTGGCTTGTTCAAAATATCAACCTTGGAGCATCAAGACTGACAAATGCCCGATCACAAGACCACCATATGCTAAAACCTACTCCGCCATCAAACATAAAGAAAAGGGATAAATACCAAGCCTCAACCATTCATATGGAATGACAGAACAAGACTGAAAGCTTCTGCAGAAACATCAATGCCTATTTCAGTAAACGTTTCCAGGCAAAGTATGTCACGGAAAATTCTGACTATCACTAAGGCAGACACCATTGCAGAGGTCTCTGAACACGGACTCTCCCCTGAACGGTTTTGGTGCAAAATCCAAACCTCTTTCTTCCAAGCACCTTTACAGTAGAAATACCTGCACACGTCTCTGTAAGGCTAGGGACAGGGACCCAGCAAAAACGCCCATCCCTCTGAGGTCTATACCAAAGCACGGTCTTAATTATAAACCCCCATTTTTTACTTCAGCTGCGCATCCAAGGCAGAGATTTCTTTCTATTCCATTCAGACAACAAATGGTTGCAAGAAGCTGCTAAAACCCAAGTGAGCCTTATAACTGGAAGCTTTAAATGTCTGTACAACTGCTCGGCTTGATACACCCTGCTCTATGTTGGCAAGATCACGCCTCAAAGCAAGAGCCTTGGCGGCGGGGATGGAGAGCTGGTATGAAGCCGTCCCCTCTCATCCACCGCGTACAAGGGTCTCTCCCGGGAAGGGCACCTGAGCCGCGGGCCGGCATCCCATGCCCGGGGGGAGCCCGAGCTTCAGCCTCTGCTTTCAGCGCAAATGCTGTCATCCACCTCACTCCCACCCAGCCCCCGAGCCTCCCTCGGCAGAAGGGGGAATTAGCACTAGAGGAGGACAGAAGCCGATGTCTCAAGGCAGAAGGTTGGCAAGCAGGGAGCGAAGGAGACCAGGAGGTGACTCACCCCTCCCACACCTTTTTTTGGGGGGTGGAAGGGGGGGGGGGGGGGGAGAGAACGGACACCCCGCCGTGTCGGCTCCTCCTTCGAGCTCCGGGCTTGCGCTGCCCCGACGCCGCCCCAGGGACCGCGATGCGCGCACAGCCCCGGCCGGAGGGGCGGCGGAGGGACCCCCGGCCCCCACCCCACACCGAGGGGGACCCGGCCAAGGTGCCGCCCGGTCGGGGCGGGCGGAGCTGCCCCCGGGTAGGGAGGGAGGGGGAGGCAGGCAAGCAGTGAGGGGAGGAGGGAGGGCAGGGGCGGCCGCGGAGGGGCGCGGGCAGCCGGGCGGCCGCAGCGCGCACGACGGCGGCGGCGCCTCCTCTCTGCTGCACTGCAGAGGCGCCATTTTCGCGCGCCGACGGCCCGCGGGGGGGCCGGGCCGGCCCCGGCCACCGCCCCCCGGGCGCCGCCTTCCCGCGGGGCCGCTGCGCCAGCCGGCTGAGAGCTCCCTCCGTCCCTCCCGCCCGCACACCTGCGCCGCCGTCCCCAGCGGGGGGATGCCATGTGGTCCCCAGTCCGCAGTCCAGCTCCGCGTCCCCGGCCCCTGCCCCTTCGGCGGATGCCACCGGGTCCGTCGCCCGCGGAGCGCCCGTTCGCAGGGAAAGTTTCCCTTCTCCGGTCCCCGGCGGAGACGCCCCCGCCCTGCCCTGCCCGCGGACCCCCACGCAGCCGAAGTTACGGGGGCAGCGCCGGGGCCGCGGGACCCGCGCAGGAGCCGGACACGCGCGGCGGGGGCGGCGGTGCCTTCCCCGGCGGCTCCCAGCCCGCTGCCGCCCCGCCGCCCCCGCCTGCCCCCGGCTCGCCGCCTCTATTGTTCGGCGGCGGGGGAGCGGCGGCAGCCGGGGATGGAACCCCCTGGGGAAGGCACCCCCTGCCCGCCCCGCCGCGGCCGAGCCCCCGCCGCGGGGGCAGCTGCGGGCAGACAAAGCCGCGGAGAAGCGGCGGAGGGCGGCGGGGAAGCCCCCGCCCGGCCCGGCCGCCCCCTGCCCCGCTTACCTCGAGAGCCCGGGCGGCGCCGGCGGCCAGCAGCAGGAGGGCTAAGTGGGGCAGCATCGCGGCGGCCGGGAGCGGGGAGGGAGGGAGGAAGGAAGGGAAGGAGGGATGCCGGCCGGCGAGACGCGGCGGGGTCCGGCTGTAAATCCGCGGGGCCGCGGCGCTGCCGAGGAAGGCGACTGATGTGCGGCGGCTCCGGGAGCGGCGGCGGGGCCGGTCAGCTGATGGCCCGGCCCGCCCCCGAGCGGGCGGTGCGACCGCCCGGCCCGGCCCGGCCCGCGGGGACCCCTGGCGGCGGCGGCGGGAGCGGCGCGGGGGCTCCGCACCGACCCTGCCCTGCCCGCCGTGTTCCCGGGGCAGATCCCGGCCCCTCCGCGCCCGTTCGGGCACCGCCGGCACCCGGCCCCAAAGGCACCGCACCTGCGGGGGCCGCGATGCCTTGGTGCGCTGAACACGCGCACCGCACCCTCCCCCGAAGGGCTGTGTACAGCAACATCGTTGCAAGGTGCGCACAAAAACACCAAAATCCAAACGCATTGTGTGATTTAGTGCCTATTTAACACGTTCTGCCTTTCCTGGCAAGGCTGCACACCCTGCTGGGATCTCCCGTTCTTGGCCGGGCGGAGGTGATGAGTCAGCACAGCCCCTTCACACCTGACACACACCATCGATAACAAAGATATGCGAGAGCATCGGCAGAGCTGGGGCTTATGGCAGGTGAACAAGGAAGAAATCAAATTAAAATGCAGGACTTTGTCAAATACCATGTAATCAAGAGCCCAATGCAAACTTACTGTCTTGCCTTCTCAACAGCATTTGTTATAATTGGTATATTAAACCTGTAACGAGAGCTTAAGAGTCAGTATTAGGAGTTTCACGTTGAAACAGCTGCTGTTATAGCTAAAATTCAGTGTGACACAGCCTGACCCATTCTGCCTCTGACCTGCAGACTCGGTGGCAGCATCTCTGCTCCCACCAAGGCTACCAAGACAGCAGCAAATAGCCCCTCCCTGCAACACGGACCTGCAGTCTCGTAAAGGGCAGGTGGTGGACATCTGGAGCACAAGTCTTATGAGAGAAATGGGGGGGGCTCAGCCTGGAGAAAAGGAGGCTCAGGGGGGACTTTCTCACTTTCCGTGACTACCTGAAAGGAAGGTATATCGAGGTGGGAGTCAGCCTTTTCCCCCAGGTAACAAGTGATAGGACAAGAGGAAATGGCCTCAAGTTGCACCAGGGGAGATTTAGGTTGGATATTGGGAAAAATTTCTTCACAGAAAGGGTTGTCAAGGAGCAGGCTGCCCAGGGAACTAATTGCATCATGAACTCTGGAGGTATTTAAAAGATGTACGGATGTGGCTCTTGGGGACTTGGTTGTGCTGGGTTAATGGTTGGACTTGATTTTACATTTCTTTTCCAGCCTAAATGATTCTGTGATTCTAGGGCCTGATTCTATGACATCCCCCCAGCGTATGGCTCTGTACAGCCTTGTCCTCACTGCTGCTCTCACACTCATCTTTCATTGAAGTCAGAACTGCAATCCATCTTGGCCAAAGCTGTGTCCAGATGCAGATGGATGAGATGAGATGAGATGGTGAGAGCAACCTGGGCTGCTGTGTCAGGTGGTTGTAACGTGCAGGGAGAGACCATAGTGCCGCAGCGTTTCAGCCCCATAGCCAGGCCCTAGAGTTAGAAGACCATTCTCATGCAGACATGAATCTTCTCATACAAGCTCATGAACTGGCAATGTACAAAGGCTTTTGGGGAATTGCTTGAGTCACACTGGCTGAATTTGAGAGATCTCTGACAGGCACATAACAGATGAGCCTCCCCCCTGAATGTACAGGTGCAAAGTATATACAAGTACAGATAGTAGATGCTTTTAAGAAACACACGCCAGTGACACAACACAACCTGTAAATTAAAATTAGTTAAACAGCAACAATGGCAGGCTTAGTTGCAATAATTCAACACTGTTATCTGCTTGTTAGGATAATGATCATATGGCTTTGAAGGGTTAGGGAAGGATTTGCTGTGCAATTTGTTTTAACCAGTTGGCTTCTAAACTCAGCCATTGGGAAGGCAGCACCATGGCTGCAAATAAGCAACATCCTGCTAAAGCTGATGGAGATCATTCAAAAACAATTCTTCCCTGAAACAATGGAGGCAATCAGAAGGAAGCTCTTTCCTAGTTCTGGGGGGGAAAAAAAAAATTGCTTCTGGATGGGATGGATGGAAAACCAAAATAGATTCATGTAGCCCTTTTATTTTAAGTTGGCTTGGTAGCTTTTTGTAATCACTTCTTCCTAGTGCTAAAATCAAAAAGCATTTCAACTGCTGCTTCTCTGGATCAGCCAAGCCTGCTTCCTTTGTCAAGGTGGGCGTGCAGGAAGGCTGCAGTTCCCTTTTGCCTGTGGCTATGAGTGAGATTTCACACCTTTGGGGAGGGCAGGAAAGGCTCAAGTTAAAAGATGGGGAAAAGTCAAAGGTACTGGGAGACGTCTATGAAACAGGTGTTTCCATTTACAGCCACTAAACACCAGTGACTATATTTGCTTAGGATTTCATGAAGTTACCCACTGGAAGGTCAGAAGTAAAACAGTTGAAAGCTGTTTGTAAGGTCTACAAAATTTAGACATGACCTGCTAACAGGGAAAAGAACAGAGATTGTGTCCTATTTTCCACTCTCTATCTTCTTTCAGGATCTGTACGGAAAGTCCAATACACTTTTTCCCTTGCTTTTTGTACTTTTCATCTCAGACTAGAAATCCAGCCTTATCAGACCTTGGAAGCTGTCATAGCTGGAGAACAGTGAAGCCCACTACTACTTCACAAGAGGGCAAACAATGGAAATCTGCTTCCCAAAGAAGAAGCACAGAAAAGATAGGGCTTACATTCAAATCTAATGCAGTGCTTCCAGCAAATAATCCCAAACTGTGTCTGAACGTGATTTTGCCTTTAATTGTTGAGCTTTGTTATTCAGTCTTAATGTGATAACTTTCCAAGTGATGAGCAAGCATGTATGTCAAGTTTCAGTTTTGGCCACTTCTGTGCTCTGTCTGTGTATCTTTTTGTGCAAATGATGTCTAATATTATTTTACAGCCTTTTCATTTTAATATATTATGTATGTGCAAACATTGTTCAGCCATTCAGTTTTTCACTGAATACTCATGAAGCAAGTGGACCTTATCCACAAATGCTGATATTACTCTACAATAGGCAATAAACCACTTCAACCTGCTTCATAACCTAATGAATTAGAGAACAGAACTTGTACGTGGCTTCTGAAGGGGGACAGGCAGCCCATGACATGGACACAATGACAGCATTGCCAAATATCTCCAAATATGTGCAAGTGGTTTTACAGGAACCCTGCCACTTACCAATGTTCACTGGATTTCTGATGATAGTGGCCTATTTCCTTCACACCAACAAAATTAGTGTAATTAGTGCAATTGTCAGCTGTATTTTATTTGTATTAGGGATACTTCCTCAGACAGATTCTTTCTGAACAATGCTGCAGCCAGTGCTTTCACAGAGATGATTTCTCCATTTGTTCTCATCTCAGAGGAGAGGGTTCCAAGTTGGCAAACTTGATTTTTGGTCCAGACTTTGATGCTGACTCACTGTCTCCTTCTGGAGTCGCTTCACTTCAGAGCTCACTATTTTCTTTATAGGGGATAATACTGTTTCCCTGCCTTTGTGATTCATGTGTGAAACAGAACAAAGTACTAGAGTTAGTATTTCTGAATGAACCTCTGCTAGTTAAAGACTCGGGTCCTGCTGAGCTGGCACCTTCTGTATTAGTTCCAGTTAAGGAGTTTTTCTGTACTCTGAAAAGCACTACAGCATAAATGACCAGATTTATTTCAGACAACTCCAGGAGGAATTTGTATTTTCAAATAGCACAACATTAATTTTAATGGAAAACCTTTAGGCTTTATGCTACACTTTGAACCACTGC